TCTGTTCCTGGAAATACTCTAATAAATTGAGCACAAGCTGTCGGCCTTCTCCATTGATCATATACGGGGAAATGTACAATTTTATATTGAAGATTGATAAAATGACAACTTAAATTGTACGCCGATATCAAGTAAGTTGTCACTTTGACAAATATGATTGAAGGGCACTCATACGTAACGACAAAGTTTTCGTGAGCGAGACACACTACTAAAGAACGTATGTCTTTGAGCTTACCGAACAAACGTTCACTCACAGGGGTAGGTTGCATGTGTATGTATGAGGGAGATAGAGATATATAAAGGGATACTGGTAGTCTTACTTTGAACCGCCAAGAACGGTGACTACAACTATACCAGAAATCGACAATTATTAGTTATACCTGAACACTTTACGTCTCTTTACACAAAAAGGGCTTCTGTTATACTGCGGCCAAGTTCAATAATCTGCCATATGAATTTTGCAACTATACTCTGAATAATTTTAAAAAGAAGCTGAAGTCGTGGTTACTCAACAGTACAGAACCACTCCCGCGCCACTCTGTCACCCATTCTATCTTGATAGTTTTGACATAAATTGATCCCATTTTTATTCGTTAAGAAAGGTTAATTTCATATTAACTAAATAATAAGATGTACAGTTGAGTTGAAAAATACCACCATGGTAACACATTTTAGTGACTTATATACGCCTATTGTTGTATATTGGATATATAATGTGAAAGAATCGAATAAAGACAATTAATTATTATTATTATTATTATATAAAACACTGCCGCATGGACACATATATCAATGAATCAATTGAAATCAGATATAAACTAAATATAAAATATGAATGTCATTTTCATATTTCAAAATTAAAAATAGAATTTGCGCGGTCAGAAATGTATTACGTAACCACGTCTAGCGTAAGTTCTTCAAAACCACATGTAGTTCATTGATAAATATGCTTTTTGATAAAAACATAAATATTCCGTAAAGGAAAAGTTCGCCTCTTCGAACAATATTGTTTAGATTCAACACCTTCGATTTGATGTATCATCTAGAACTGTCTGGAATGGGCTTATCCGCTTTCTGCTTTGAGAGCGATATACCAGGGCAATGGCAAGATTTGTTGTCAAAAATTATTTTTGTCTGCTAGACATGTACACCAGCCGGAGTACATGAAATTGAAAGGTAGTATTTTTAGGATTTTCATGTTTACTTACTTTATAAGCTCTATCGGTTGGAAAAGTAACATTCCAGGACTTATCAAAATTATTATGACGTTTTCTCAATTTTACATATTGTGGAACTCAAGATATAAGAGGAACAGGCATGGACGCCCATTAGGGAGGGCAAGGGGAGCATATACCCTGCGTGGTTTCCACTTGAGCAGTGAAGTATCCTTGATAAAGTACCTATTTTTTTAATAGAGTATTCATTTTTGTGCAATGAGTGGCATACATTTTTTACTCCTCGAACATCCCTGCATAGTAATTGTTTTTCCTCTCACCACTTTAAGTAGCTAGCAATTCCGTTTCAAAGTGATTGACTGGATCTGTCAGTCTTAGCTGACCCCTCTGTTTTCTGCTATGTGGGTGCCTATGAAAAAAGGTGAACAAAGTTTGGAATTTTTACATAGGTTTTTTGTTCAAGACACACAGGCTTCACAATTGACCCTTGGACACTCCGTACCATAGTAGTGAGTGCAGTGTAGTACAGTACGGTTTACGGCTTGAGTAGCAACAAAAATCAAAAACTGTATAACGAAAAGTCATAGGATAACCTGACAATTTAATCAAAAATATGTTCCGTATTTTTGCCTGGTCGTGAGCGTAATTCATTTTCTCTAACAACTTTCAGATCTAAGACAGCGCTTAGCAAATCTTTTAGGTATATAAAAAACGACTATCAAAACGTTTTACGGACTCCAGGTATCAACCAATAGATAACTGATAGATTATAAATCATCATTATCAACGCAATCAAAGGAATAGTTCAGTGTGGACAGTCAGATAGGTATTGGTTCACACGGAGCGTGAGCAGGTAGAAACGGCTACCATCTCAACACGAATGATGCAATATTTCATTTCTCTCAGTGGGGCTTGCCATCGTTACGAAAATCTGACGAAACTTCCGTAGCTTTTCGGCTCATCCCTACAGATTAGATATTATTAGTACTTGTTTGACAAGGTGACAGATATATCTTATCATCGTTACACAATTTTCTATAATTCGCAAATACTGCTGTTCTGTTTTGATGTTGAGATTCAATGAAATATTACGTAAGTCCTTTTATATATGTACGGTTTTGCATTGATGAAAAAATTAATTATGCAATCATTTGAGTGCAAACAAATGATAATGCTTTTTCAAGAAGAGTACCAAACTACCGAACAATAACCTATGACACTGGAAGCTACCCCATTAGATAGGAATACTAATTAAAAATAAATATTAAATATGTAAACTAGTAATGTAGCTTTCTTTGGAAAGCTGTTTCTTGCTATTTGGCAACTCCTCAGCATGGTGAAGGCATGGTCTCGGTAGGACATCAAATAACAGCTGAGCGACTATACTCCATTCAGAGTATCAGGCCTATCAAAATAAAAGTGACTTTTTCACTTTGTGCTGACTTATTTCGATATTAAGTGTGCGGCCAAGATTGGCAATATGAACAAAATAACAAAATGCATGCACGTTAGAGCTAGGGATTTTGAAATACAATAAATCTCAAAAGCAAAAGTACCAGAGTCATGGAAGAATGGAATACGAATTGCTTAAAAATTTTCTTACTACGCCTAGAACTGTAAAATATCAAACAAAAAGACCTCATTGCACAAGAAATGAAAGTATATATACAGGGTGATTCACAAGTCGTGACCAAACATGAAACATCATACGCATTTTAAAGGGGGTCTTGTATGTAACATTTTTTCCTCGACGGCTTCATTAAAAAAATACGAGGCGTTAAAAATAAAAAACATTTTTTTTAATATCTTCAAAACTGGAATGAACTAAAATTTGGTATGTGGTTTTACCTAAGTATTGTCCACATTCAAAAGTCTTGAAAATAAAATTATCGTGCTACGGTGGCAGAGTTATAGGAGATTCGTAGCATTATTTTTCCAAACAAAAATAGTACGCTACTGTTTTTCGAATTATACCTTCAATTTTTTACAAATAAGTATTCCTGTGTCTCTTTCCTAGAGTGCACTGTTTTTTTAATAATAAAAATAAAACAAATTAGATCCTTCATGAAGAGAATTAGTTCCACAATAAAATAGGAGGCCCTGATACCTACCTGACGTTTCGTGGAAGATAGTTTGTCAAAGTTATGTGTTATACGATTATCATTACTACCACCATTTTTTTCTGTAAAACTCAAGTCAAAAATCCCTTTTTTCCATATTTGGATGTTGTGAAATGAAATTCAGCAATGACAAGTACGCCGATATTATTTTTGTGTACGGGTTCTGTAATGAAAAAGCTTTAGCGGCTTCTCGAGAGTATCAACGTAGATTTCCTGACAGACCTACCAAAAGTGTTTACTAATTTGTTTTTTTTTTATTTTTACGAATGCACTCTAGGGAAAAACTTAAGAGTAATTTGTAAGAAATCAGAGGTAGAATTCAGAACATTGCGCGTTTCCAGAAAAAACAGTGGCATACTATTTTGATTTGGAAAAATAATGCCACTAATCCCCTGTATCTCCGTCACTGGTGTACCTTAATTTCAAGTAAACACTTCTGAATGTCGACAATACTTAGATAAATGAACTCACCAAATTTTAGTTTATCCCAGTAGACGGTTTTGAAGATATTCAAAAAAAATTGTTTTTTATTTGTAAACTTCATCTTTTTAATGAAGCCCTAAAGGAAAAAATGTTACATAGAAGACCCCCTTAAAACGTGGTCCTTGGCATGATGTTTTATTTTTGGTCACGACTTGTGAATCACCCTGTATTTTCCCATATCGTTATAATCTACCCCGCGTAAGTTAGACAAAACCATTCATGTGATACTTTAATGATGATCTCTCATAAAATGTTAAACTGGATGTTGTTGGTTATTCTTGTAAAGCTTGCTATAAGTTTTTGGGTATTTCATGATATGACATGAAGTATGTATTTAATTTAATAACAATACAGCACATGTCTCCTATGAGTCAGGGTACGTTTATTATGCAGTCCCGTAGAGTATAGTCAATTTACAAAATCGTATACATACGGGGACTTAAGAACACCGTAAGGTTGTTTTCTGTGAAGTAGTAACTCCATGCATATGCATAAGGTCGCGAATTTTCAAAGTTTGGTAGCCAACTCCGCACGTGAAAAGAAAATAGTAGCACTTCGGGGAGCCCAGATTCTCTCTTTCCCTATCAAAGGGGGGTCAGTGTACGAAATTCCATTGTCCTGGAAAACAAGGTGAATCACAATTTTGGATCTAATCATTGCTCGAAACGATTGCAGAATGGCTCACTAGGTGACCAAAGTTTAATTTAGTAACAGTTGTCCCATAGATATCAAGTCACATGAAAGAACCTGGTAATAAAAGGGCTGATCTTTTTCTCACCAGTTGAAATATGCTATTCACAGTGTTGATTAGATGGCTCATTGCGCTGTCTTATTTCGATAGAGAAAAATGTTTAAGAGACATCCAGGCTTTACCACAGTAGAAGTTCTAGAGCTATGGTTGAGTTACGAAAAGTGTTTCAATAATGAAGGCGTAACATAACAAAAGAAACTGCAAGTACCTTATCTCCGATTGGCGACCTTATGTGGAAGAGATTTCGCCTGCTTGGTGACAAATATAATGAAAGGTGGACATAGTCAAAATAATTTCTATGTTCATTAGGAACTTGGAATGAGATTTTTACGAAATGTTGTAACTGAGAGTGCACAACAGCCGCATAGCTGGATCTGAAACTCCAGCATCACTATAAGTGAAAAGAGATGTGTACCATAAATCACATTACACTATAAACAGCAAAAACAAATAGAAATGCTATATCAAATTGCTCGTAAACGCTGCATACGTGCAGCAGCTATTGAAAACAAATCGGAAACGCGAAAATATAAACAACCAATTTAAATTAAGTAACAACCGATAATGGAAAACAATACTCGCGAAACTTGTGTTGATGATCCCGAAAAAAACACAAATTTCGTCAGCTTATCTGCACGCTTGCCGTCAACCGACGAGACCGCTTCAGAAACCCAACTGTTACATCATCTTCGCTAGAAGCCGATATAAACGATCGCGACTTGACTGCCGGTATTCATTCACTTGATCGCTGTGACTTGTGACTGTACCTCCTCTGCCTTAGCGCCTTTACGACCGTTTTCGGTTTCCAACGCCTTTTGTCAATCCACTTGTTTATTTTTCTCGTCAGAGAAATCTGAAAGCTGCTTACTAACTCACTTTGAGTAGTAACGGTCACCGAGCTTTTACTGAGCTTTGAGAATTAAAGAACTAAAGTTGTTTGGAAGTTCTGAGCTTAAATCGTCGAGTGTAAAGATGTCTCAAACAATTGATTACAATTATTTCGTGAGTGCCCATTCTTCAAGAAGAAGACCGGCTTTAACCAGAGAGCTGAGTAAGTATTATATAATTTTTTATCGTATAGTATTCATAAACAATATAGTGGAGTCAGAGCGAAATTTTGAAAAAGCTAAGGGCAATATAGCGAAGATACCGATGGATACTAATAATATTGAAGAACCATTTTAAATAATATAAAAAAGTACTCCACTTAATAGCTATACACCGCTGTTATACAGCAGACATTACATAAACATCTTCAAGTGAAACAAGGGTAGAAATGAAGCTGCAGGATCAAAGCATAGAAAACAAACTACTCACCTTTGACAATCATCTCAACAATATCTTTATTTCCTCAAATTGTTTACATAGAAGAACATTAATCGCTTTAGTTCAACGTAAATGTTGCATTAAATTATATGGCAGCTGAAGATTACCATAATGCTGTTCCTACTGTCACATAACGTACACTTAGGTCAATGCCATTATCAAGGACGCAAACAATAACCTCATCAACATACCATAAGTAAACTTGAACTTTGATTGTTGATGGCAAAACTGATGGCAGTTGGAACAATGACTGTAAAATTTAACATTGGTAATTCAATATAAATGCTAAGAAGTATTACTTGAAACAAGGACACACTACAATGTTTTCATTAATGTTTATCATCAAATGTTATAGTTTTTAAATCACGTCAATGGCATTTTTTGCTAATCTGCTCTTAGGTATGGTTACGGTGCATTAGCCAATATAGGTACCTGTATAGTCAAATTTTTTATTATAATCAAGCGACATTCAATTCAATTTCTAACACACGCTTATTTGAAATTCATGCTTGCTTTTGTTTTTGAATATGAAGGTTTGAAATGCAATGCTGCATTGCTCAGTGTAAATCCTGTTGAATTTGGCTGGTCATATTTTTTATACATAGTGTTTTAATTGCTTAAATCTTCACTAGCACCCAAAAAAATTACTACTCAGCTACTTCTTATCAATTTTATCGCTATTTTGGATAAAAAATAAGTACACAATTTAATGACTGCTAGATTACAATAAATCAGTATTACAAGTCACATACACATCTGACGTCTTTTGGTCTTTAACTGTACTGATAAGAAGCGGCACTTAGCAACGATTATTGTGAAATTGTTTATGAACATGATTTTAAAAGGATCGAAAACAAGCTAATCGCTTACATTTGTTAACGGAAAAAAGTGAAGTTTATGTAACAAATATTTTGTGGAAAATTATTGTAATAATGTTTTAGTAAGTAGTTATTGTAAGAAACATGAAAAATCGTTCGGGAAAAATGTAAACGAACAAATTATTTGGTGAAACGTGTGAAAAAGGTTACTGTACACTGTACGAGAATATAGGTTATGCTAGGAAAAAAATGCGTCTATTTTTTAATAAAATAAATAAGGTTATAAAATAACGTTTGAAATATTTTTCATTTTTACCTTAAAATTATTTTATCGCTAGGTAACTGACCGTTGGCTCCTTTTTCAGACCAAAAATGGCTACAGATTAAATTTTCTAACACCAAAGTCAGGCATATAATTTTCAAGTACAGTTGCAAGCATGCCTATACAAAGTTTTAAGATCCCCTTATGTTGCCCCTGAGAAAATGAAAACTTATTAAATTCGTAAATGATTGTTTTTCGTTTAATGATATATGTATATCTGATTCGCCAGTACCATCGTCAGCTTCAGTACATAAGGGAAGGATATTCAGCCAGTGAGGGGGTGTATAGATTATTTTTTTTGTTCTCATCAAACAAAGACAGTAGACATGGCGCGAGCTGTATGCTATATCTATAGTAGTAGTAATAGTATTATTGAGCAAACAAAAAAGTAGATTAGAGGGTGCATACGTTAATGAAACATTATACAGATAAACAGTGGCTTATGTACGTTAACTACATACATGTTTTCCTTCCCTATTTTCTATAGTTTTAGTAATTAAAGTTAAATGTGAGATTAGGGCTTGAACTCGTTAATGAATGATTATATTGATAAACAGTGTATTTAAAGTGTATTTTTGTTTTCTGTGCAAGGTTACTTTGTGGCAACGTTAAGGAATTTTTTAACGTTGTACGAATTTGATTCTTCAGCTGAAAGTAGATCCAGAAATAACACGAACAGTACACATAAACATGAGCACTAAAATGCTTCCTTATCAAGATACAGAGTGTTGAAATTGTAATATATAAATCGAAAAGAAATATCTGTAGAAGGTACTGACTAAAAATATTGCAGATGTCGTTACAACACCAGTAGCGTAGAAATAGGGAAATTTTGATTTCAGCAGAAAAGAAGAGGAAATTGTTCTCATGTCTACTGGCTTTTTGAAAGCTTTTATTGTATTTTAAGGCACATAATTTTACATAAATGGCAGACTGTTCCTTTTGGAAAAAAAATAGTTTCAATCTTTGAAGTGAAATTCCTCCAATTTCTTAAGTTAGTGAACCATAGCCTTATTTGAACAATATTCAGGTTTTGACCTATCCGGTCTCATCATTGGCATAGAAATATTCTGCCATTGCGATTAAAGATTAAAGAGCAAGCTTACGAAACTTAAGCAGCGCTTTTTATGACACTAAAGGCGGGGGGTGAAGTACGTCTCACAATGCAGGTCGTCTAGCAAGTTAATTTCTACGCCAAAATACAGCAATGCATTTTCTCGAAAAACTTTCAAAAATTATTTCTACCCACTTTTGGTGAAGTGTTCCAGACATAGAAGGTTCCAGAATTGAGATTGCTTTTTACGATTTTTTTCGCAACAAGTTTGCCTTGAGTATTACGTATGACTCTTATGCCTTATCAAATCACCTCATGTGTTGAGTTGAAATTCGAAAAACTAACAATACCAACTGCTTCCCAATACAATTGTCGCATAATTATCTACGAGAAAGAATTTATACGTTAATATATATAATGAAATCGGACCTCAGGATTCGATATTCAAATAAAGTATTTTGACTGATTTACTAATAGTAATTATTTTTTGCAGCTAAACAAATGTACAATGCTCCAAAGGAGTCCATTTCTCTGGCTGAGGGTATGCCCAACGAGGTCACCTTTCCTTTCAAGGAGATCAACATCGTACTCAAAGATGGATCCCAATATAGCCTACAAGGAGCCGTTTTGAACTCTGCTCTCCAATACATCCCTACTCAAGGTGAGAATATCGCACCAATTACTTTTCTTTATTTTCGAGTAAGATTGTTTAATGCATATTCTGTTTGAGTGAGAGTTTCAAATTGAGTTACTTAGGATAGCAGTTATATGAATAATTATTTTATTTGCAGGATATCCGCCACTGGTGAAAACACTGAAACAGTTCACCAAGGACATCCATAATCCTCCAAATTGGGAGAATTATGAAACGCTGCTCACCAACGGGTCCCAAGATGGAATCAGCAAGTCGCTGGAGATGATTGTTGAGGAAGGGGACAGTGTTCTTGTGCAGAATCCTCTTTATACCGGAACTGAGATTATCGTAAGTACTTCCGAAAAAATGATAATGAGGCTGACTTAACTTAAATTCTGATAGCTTACTTTTATAATTATATACTTTGTAAAACATTATTGCAACGTAGCATTCAGAACTGGCAGATACTTCCCGCTGACCATAACATCTGCCAGACGCTTTGAACAAGGTTTTCCCGCTAAAACAGGCCTTAATATGATAGTTTAGAAAAAATCTACATAAAAGTTATAGGGTCTTGCATCAAGTTTTTCATGCTAGTTTTTTGTATACACGAAGTCTCAAAAAAGTCATGTTGAATAAAGTTGTATTTTTTTAAGCGGGACACTATTCAATGGCACGGACACCCTATACAAAGTGTCTTTCACAAAATTAGTAATGTCTGGAATTTTGGATCATCAGCTTTTGGATGACGTCGAATTTTAATCTTTTATCAGAGATTTTGGTGTACTGCCTCGGAACTTAAATCATTGTAAGATGGTCGACAAATTTTAGACATGCAACGGTTTTTTGTTTTACCAAATGATTGATGCAACTTAAATCTTCAAGTTTGGTATACATAACGGTTTTGGGTGCCTTTTGATCCATTCGTTCAATTTAAGACAAATTATACGAAAATAAAATTCGTTGAACTGTCAAGGTTTGAGAATTCTGCAATGAAACAATTGTATAGAAAATAATTAAGACAAGCTATCTAAACCTCTCTGCTTATTCGCAGCTGAAACCGTACAAGGTGAACTTGATTAGCATCGAGCAAGACAAGTACGGCATCATTCCCAAACAGCTGGTGGACGCCCTGGAGAACTGCAAAGCCAAGTACACTGAAGAAGGCGGAGGGAAGATGCCGAAAGTCTTATACATCAACCCAACGGGCTCGAATCCAACAGGAATTACTATGTCAACCGAAAGGAAGAAGGAAATCTACTCAATCTGCTGCAAGTACAACATCATCATCCTGGAGGACGATGCTTACTATTTCCTGCACTTTTTGGACAAGCAGCCTGAGTCATTCCTGAGCATGGACACGGAAGGCAGAGTGATCAGGTTCGATTCGATGTCAAAGATGCTTAGCTCTGGATTGAGATTAGGCTGGCTGACCGGACCAAAGCAACTGGTGCACTACATCGAGCTGCATGTGCAAAGTTCCATCCTTCATTCCAGCACTTTATCTCAGGTAAGACTCTAGCGCAACCAAGTACGAAAAAATACGTAATTACTTCGATGGTATTCCTATTGTCTTTGGGTTTCGTGTTATGCAAAAGAAATATTGCGATTAAAACCTCTACCGTTCTAGTTAAGACTCAAAGCTGTAGACCTAGTTTTATCAGTCAATTAAAAACCCCCGATACGAAATCAGTAAATTCAGTCTACTCTAACAGATACCATATTCAAAAATGTATCGGTGAACTTACCGACTTAAAGTCAATTTAATCACACAATCATTTTTTTACTATTCCTCATCTAACTAGTAATAAAAATTGTTCACTGAAAGACAATTAAGAACCCCCGATACGAAATCAGTAAATTCAATCTACTCTAACAGATGCCATATTCAAAAGTGTATCGCTGAACTTACCTTACTATTTATCCGATAGCACCAGAAACGAAAACATATCTTAGTTTCAAGCACAACCAGACTATTATTGAAAAAGGAAAACATTTAAAAAGTTCAAAGTATTGATTATTGACTTGAGGCAGCTGTTAGAATAGTTTGCAAATTCTTAATCTCAATAACACATCAAGTTTCCGTGCTATTACATGAGCAATTATTGATTATATTATCGGTATTTTTTCACATTATTCTGTAAAAATGTCGTTCAGGTCATTTATTATGAAATATAATTTATTAAGATAAAAATTAGTACAGAAAATGTATCAAATTAACATGTTGCCACAACTAATTTTTAAGTGATAAGACCACATAAATGCTTGTCAATAAATTTTTACAAAATATTAAGTAATTTCATTATTATCTAGAAAGAAAGAATTTAATTGCAGACTTATAAATTCAACGTTTCAACACATATTTCATACCAGTCCAAATTTTCGGAATGATTGAATTGCTTCCATGGAAAATAACATTTAATAGTTTGTCAGCAAAGATTCGATTTCTTGCATGATCTAAACGTCATTATCTCCAAACTGAGGGTTTTGACACCAATCATAACCAAATATTTTGCTGAAAACTTATTTGTTCAAGAACGTCCGATAACGATTTATCTTACATGTTCCAGTTAGAAAGCAGTCGTATATATGTTTCATGAAATTTTAAATGAAAAATTACTTGTCGAAGAAAACAATACGTGCATTTTTGTATCTTATTTGAGTCAGTTCAAGAGGAAGGTTAACTTTCTAGATAATAATGCGTATACACACAAATTACCAATAGGTCACCAAGAAATCCAGTTTTATTCAGTTCAACGGCTTATCTTGTTTAACATTCTCAAGATGCACAGGCAAACAATGTTCCTATAGACAGAGTCCAATATGTTGACGTTTACAAGAAATCCAGTTTATCTTCTAGACGAGCATGTACAAAGATATGAGATTTTTTTTGTAATTTTGTATGTAAAATGTGGAGATAAGAGCGAAAAAGTATCCACACTTCCGTCATAAAATTATAAATTCAGATAAGTCAAATAAATGCCAATGACATTTCTATATCCAGTTCGAGGATTAGTCATTTTCAAAATGTATTTATCATGAGGCACCACTTTGATATTAAGCGAACTAACTCACTATATTCATTCTAAGATTCGGAATGATTGCAATTCTTGAGTAAAAATGTTATTGTTCTTCGTAAGAGTATCGTATCAGAAGTTTATATATTTGAATTTTTACAATCAACCATCTACAGGCAATAATTTCAAGGTTGTATGGAATCATCTTTATCCCGCTTCTTTCATTTTTATTTTAATCCGATTAGATGCATTCGGCAGGGGTATTACGTAGAAGATGTAAACTTAGAACTAGCTGTTATTCACTTGATATGTACTCGTTCTGTAGCTGTACATGTTGTACGTTTTTGAGAGCGCAAAGAATCCGGGAAAAATCGTAAATTGTAACTTTAAACATAACCTCTCTTAAGAAATGACAACACAAATAACCCGTCTGGTGCAGCTGATAGATATACTTCATATGCAGCATATTTAATAATTTTTTCATACAGAAAATCTGAGACATTATGCAGACCGATACACACAATCATCTTACTATTCAACCATTTTTATTTCTGTCACATCTCTGAGATTTACTATACAGACTATCTCAGCATTCTGCAACCAACAAAGCATGCTGGGTCGTTGAGCGTTAAGTCATTCCTGCATAGGTGACGCTTTTTGTAACGCTCACAACGCTTATAGCGAACAAATGTGGAATTAACTGTTTGCACTTAGGACATTTTGTCGGTTCTTTTTGACATATAGGTTTTCTACGTAATAACCTAATAACCCTGCTGCTCTATTATCTTAAAAAAATAGAGATATTCCTTTGACCTATTTCAAGGATACCAAATCCAATGCATCTTAATTAGTCTTATAAGAATATCTTAATAATGTTTTTAATAAATGTTTTGTTGCTGAGAAAAACGTTAGGTGCTGTTTTTGGCAGAGATGGGTACCGCATGTTTGTATACTTAATAATCGATCTTTAAAAGAATATTTGCATTGTTCCAGGTTCTCCTTGAAGAGCTTTTCCAACAATGGGGCACATCCGGTCTTCTCGCCCACTTTGAATCTGTAAGAAATTTCTACAAGGGTAGATGTGACTTTACGCTTGCTTCAATGAACCGCTATCTGAAAGGACTCTGCGAATGGGAGATACCCACTGGTGGAATGTTCGTATGGATCAAAGTCCATGGAGTGTCTGATGTATACGATATGCTCATGACAAGAGGCCTGAAGAAGCACATCACTTTCGTCCCTGGACATGCGTTCATGGCCGATCCTACCAAAGCTTGCAACTACATTAGAGCTTCGTTCAGCAAGGCTTCTTTGAAGCAAATCGACAGAGCCATGAAGCTACTAGCTGACTTGATACGGGAGGAGCATCAATTGTTACGCAGGAAACTCGAGGATTTAGAGAACAACATAATAAGATAGAAATAGTAGTAGGAAAAATAAGATTTGAATGATACCTATGAAAGGTTTGAATTACACCTAGGCTATCGCCAGGTGATGTAAATACGTTTACTTTGGATTACCAGAGGAAATATATTGATGATTTAGATTGTACAATACGGGAAACCAGTAATTGATTAATTTGAGAATCTTGAATGTGTGGTGTAAATTACAAGTTTGAGTACAAGTTTTGTTCTAACGAGTAATCATGGTTGAAAGGCAATTATTTTCGACTGCATAGTAATTTTCGGACATATCGCGCCAAATCTGGATATCTAGAGCAAAAACAAGAATAACGCAGATTTTTTGTCGTCATATCAGTATTATGCAACCAAGAAATGGTTTAAAATGAGTATTATATTTTTTCTGTATATGTTTTATATATGCAGTTTTATTGGTTTTTATATATTAATAACACATGTTAGTCTGTTGGAACAAATCTTGATTCGTTATTTGAGATTGCAAGATAACCTGAGATTGGTTGAAACGCTGCATTTATAAGATCAATATGTTCGAATTAGATTTAGGATTACTTTTTAAGTGGTTTTTATTTGTGTGTGGTTAATTGTTTCCTTGTAATCAATAAAGTTTTTTTGGTGTGTATATTTGAATTTTATTTACATATCTACTTGAGTCAATACTCGATCAGGACCAAACCAAGCCCTCAATCATCGAATGCAGCTTAATAATATACATGTATTCTATTATAGCAGTTGATAATGCTATTGATACTGGCTAAACATTTGTTTAAAGTCGCCAGACGTGTTACTCAAGCTTCACCTTACGTTTTTCTAAAGAAGATAACTCAGAAAGGATAGATGTATCGATTAAATGCATATCAAAGGTCCTTAACCCTGCGAAATTGCATAAGGTCAGATTGACAATGCACCAAAAGTAGTAGTGTGTGGTTCGCGAACGAACTAGTTCAATCGAAAGATGTTTATGGTTCTACTAAGTGAGCTAGTTCGTAGTTCCTTGAAAAACTCTGAACGAGTAGTATTACATAATACCGATGATCCAAACGAACTAGTTGTGAGCAAACGAACGAGAACCTAAATGATATAATCCTAACTATCATATTGGGTGTACAATGTGAGCAAAAAGAAAAACAAGACTGATGAAGATAGTGAAACCACTGCTATTGAGGATGTAAAAAGTTCGGTCAATGCTAAGAAGAAAACTTCAAAAGATTGTGAATATTTGAAAAGAATTAATGAACAACTGAGACAAGAAATTAAATAACATGTTGATAAATTGTCACATTACGAAAAGCTGCTTACCGAAAAGGATAAAATAATTCATCAACTGACAAATGAGAATAGAAGATTTCAAGAGCAGTATGATTCGTTAACGTGTCACATCACTGAAAAGGAGTCTATTACTTCTGCTCTCGAGAAACTAAACTCCAGAATTGGAGAGATTGAAAACTTATTTCATAGATATGCTGAGTCTGTCCACAATAATGCTCCTTTGAAAACCAAACAAAGATCAATAAAAAGTTTAATAATTACTCCAAATCAGGAGCAGTCTTCTTTCCAAACCAGGAATGATCTCAATAAAAAATTGCATCTGTCCAAACTGAATATAAAAGTAGAACAAGTGAAGAACTCTAAGAATGGAGGAGTAGAAATAAATGTTGAAGTGTATTTCCATGGTATACTGAAGAAAGAAATTGAAAAAGAATTGTCTTAGGTTTACAGAGTATCAGAACCGAAGTTGTTGAGGCCAAAAATAAAAATAGTTGGTTATCGCAGTCATGAAAAAATTACTGAAACCGACCTGGAGGCTGATATTCGACAAAATCACGGCATATCCCAAGAAGACATCAAAATTAACCATGTTAAGTATATTACCTTGAAAAGGTAGTTGGAGTATAAAAAAAACTAGCATGAAAAGATTTAAATTTGGCCATATAAATATTCGATCTCTTCTACCTTCTTTATCTGACATTTCTTTTATTATGCAAAATTCTATGTTTGATATTTTAGGTATTTCTGAAAAGATCTCTTTCTATGAAAATAATTATTTTTGTAGAAATAAATTCAGTTTCTGTCCAATAAATTCCCCTAATTTCACTACATATATTACATATCATAAATAAATGCTTAGAAAACAGTGTGGTAAGCATGGAAAAGCTCTCTTGTTTTACCTTTGTCCAAAGTAGGTAATCCTGGCTCGTATACTGACTTGAGGCCTATTAGCATTTTGCCTATACTTTCCAAATTATTGCAAAAGTATGTATACACAAATAAATGAACATGTTTTGAAATGTGGTACTACCATCTAGACAGTGTGGCTTTAGGAGGGGTTATAATACTGCTGCAGCATTGTTAGATCTAACTGACAATATTGTCAGAGCCTAGGATAACCATCAAACTACTTCCTTAATTCTTTTAGATTTTCCTAAAACGTTTGACATCATCACTCTTAATAGCCAAATGTAAATTTTATGGTTTCTCTGAATCATCAGTTGCTCTAATAAACAGCTTTTTAAATAATAGATCACAGAGAGTTGTCATCGATATGAACACATCTCCTGAGACTTTAATTTCATCGGGAGTGCCTCAAGGGTCGGCTCTTGGGCCACTTCTTTTTATTTTATATATCTCCGATCTTGAAAAAGCTATTGAACACTGCAATATTCAGTTTTTTGCAGATGCGTCGCAGTTATACAATAATTTAAATGCAAAAATTCATAATCTTAAATTTAAAAAGTAACTTTATTCACTCCTAAAAAATTTAGAAATCAAATTAAGAAATATTCGACAATATCATTAAATGGTGAAATTATAAAAGTATGTGAAACTGTAAAAAATCTAGGCATACCTCTTGATGAATGTCTGAATTTTATCCCTCATGTGAACAACGTTACATAAAGTTGTTTTTTAATACTTGAACGGCAATTATACTTGAACAAACAAATTCTCGATTACAAAACTAAAAAAATTCTCTGCGAGTCATTAATTATTTCAAAAATTACATACTACGACATTGTTTATCATCCGTTTTTAGATTTAGTATCTGTCAAGCGGTTAAAAAAAATTCAAAATTCATGTTGCAGGTTAATCTGTTAAATATGACCACCTTTCCTCCTCGTTCATAAAATTGGAATGGTTATCTATTCCTAATCTATTTAAATTGCATTTACTAATTCATAGCTTTTCCTACCTCAATTCCCCCATTTTTGAAAGGTTAAGTTAAAATTTCGTCGTTCTATGCACTCACGAGATATTCGCTTTATTGATACAATAACAATTGCTCCTCAGAAAACTTAATTTTTTACTAAATATTTTACTTAAGATGCTACTATCATGTACAATGCTTTACCCTCTGATACTAAAGCTTTACATTTCAAGAATTCTTCTTCTGCTTATGATATAATATGGATTAATATGTATGTATAATGTTATACTTTTATCCAATCTTGATTTACCTGTGTTTTACTCATTTAATTTACTTTTTTTAATTTTTTTTCTATTTTGAAACTCTGCATTTTAGTGGTTGGTAGATATATATTTTTATGGATGGACATTTTACGGGTTAAGTTACCACTTAATAGCTTATGCTAAACTTCGCCCAATAAAGACGTTTTATTATTATTATAATCTGCTCCTCTAAGGATTGAACTCACCACCCCTGGTTTACAAGACCAGCGCTCTGTCACTGAGCTACAGAGGCTCGTAGTTTCGCTATTCGTACGGTGGCATTTGAAATCCGTGGCTTTTTATTAACATATTTGTTTTTTACAGAATTTCATTAATAACGATAATGGAAAACTGTTATCAAATTATTGCATTGTCATCGGTCCTTGATACATGTGCGAAACAGCAAAAACTGTTCCGAAGATGTTATCCATTCAAATACTAACCGCGCCCGACGCTGCTTCGTTTTAGTGAGCACGACTTTTTGAACTGGTTGATCGAAATGAACTAGAAAGCACATTACTAATCAAAAGCTTCCTCACAGAAAAAAAACTTTGTATATGCTTCATTCGCACAAATTTAGCCTCCTCTATGCGAAACTCGTGTAACTCCTTTTACACCCCATCTGTGAAGTACACTATATTGATCAAACACAAGCTCTAGTTCAGTCAGTACATAAAAGATGGCGAAAAACGGATAGTAGCACATGGTAGTGCGTTCCAGTGATTTATAAGAGGGTAAACTGTTACCAGCTTTGTACATCAGATGGCAGACATATGAAGAAATAAGGGTAGCTTTACCGTAGCATAAAGCATACCACCGAGCAGTTTTATCACTACGAGACACAAGGGCGGACTTACGAATCTGTCTAGGGGGGAGCGCAGTGGTGATCACAGCATTCATTGTCAGGAAGATATTTTTTCTCCGATGGACGGGGGTGATCGGCGACTGGCGATTAAAAATTGAAGGGCGGGGGAGTTATCGGCTATAAAAAATTGAAGAGCCGGAGTAACTGCATGCTTGAGCACTTGCACAGCGCGTCTGAGAGCAAATGCTCCTATCATAGTTGAAGAGCGGTGGTTGGATACTCCGAAGGGGAGGAGATGCGCAGGATGTCATCAATATAAGCCACTGTCATGAAAAAAAAGGCAGACTGGGTCGTTTGGGACGGATTCGCCATCCCCCCTCCGCCACTGACGAGGCAGATTACTTTCTTCCAATTTCTAAAAATAAGGAGTAATGTGTGGTTCCTAGATTTTTGGAGGCTCTGATTGATATCCTTACAAGGAGATTTCTGACCTCAAATGTCAAGTTATGCCGAAGATTTCTGGATCAGTAGGTAGGTCACTGGTTACAAATAGGTAGTTACATACTTCTTTATCAGTGCAAAAACATGATATGTTTTTTAAACAACTTTGAATGGGTATTTTAAAATACCATGTATAGCATGTTTTAGTATTCGCGAAAACTTTGGGGTTAGCACTAACTCATTGATGTCGCCAATCAAGACAAAAAATCAGAATAAGGATTTGATACTATTCATTAGAGCGGTCTGGTAGCCCTTTGCTCTTAGTTAAAAAAGTCTCGTCAGTCTACTAGTCTATCAGGTCTGGCTACCCAGATACCAAACATGTTTAAGGGGAAATGGAAAAGAAGGAAAGAAAGGAAGGAACAAATATAGCAAAGGAAAGAAGTAAATCATTTGAAATAGCTTAAGCATTACTACTTTGATTACTCGAATAATTTTGCAACTCCAAGAAATAATTCGATGATCGGTTTTGTTTACTGAACCAGTTTTGGTTGGTCTGAAATTCCCAACTTAATTTTGATCGCAGTGCGAGGGGCAGCCTGGAATGCTTGCCAATTTTTCGACTGCCTAGTCTACTGAATCACGCAACAGAGGGTTGCTGTGCGATTCCCCTTGATTATAACACCGCTATACCTTTTGTTTTACATAATAACTTAGATAAGGGATATCAAGATCTCTGTAAATGGTCTGATTTGACACGTACCATGGGGCGTTGGTGATTGTGCGCAGGGTTCTGCTTTGCAGTTCTTGCAATCTCTGCATGTGCTTCTTGGCAAGAAAGCACCAAGCCGCGTATGCGTAGGTGATTGCGGGTCTTATGGCCATTTTATAGAACCGAATCTTGTTGATCAAACTTAATTTTGAATTTCTGGAC